CAGTGGTTTCGCAAGAACTCTTCAAAAAATGATGCGTGCGAGAGGTAAAATTCACGTATATTGCCAATAGCGTCACATAAAAGAGTAAGGATAAAGCAGGCTGCGTGAGTCGTGGTGTACGCCACGCACTTCACTTCCATTCAAATTCGTAGTGGCATTCAAATAAGGTCTGGAAAATAACAAAGGCCAGATGAATTTGAATGCGGGTTACCTACAGTGAAAAGTACCAAGGGGTGGTAGCAAGCGATGCAAAAGCCAGTGTTTTTATCTTGCAAAAAATTGGTACTAATTAACCAACCGCGGAAGGACAGTACGCTTAATTGGCCTTAACGGCTCATGGGATTCGGTCTCGAACCACGAAAAGCGAAGCCATGGCCACTACACCACTTGCTCTCACCACGCAGTATATACAGAAATGAAAAGGTTAGCACTTCTTCGTTAATTTTTGGCTTTGTAGCGCGCCTGTGTTCAATTGAAGAAAGGTAATACTTGCGTGCTGAATATCTGACCATCGTTCTCTGATTGATGTATATACAGGGGGGGGGGGGGGGCCAAAAAAAAGACATTTTGCCCATGTCGCACTTCGGCCTTTTTTCTTCGCAGAGATTGCCGTCGTTGACGGAAGTTCCTCAGCAAAGTATTCCCTAAATGTCCCTCTATAAGTGACGCAGGCCCTCCTTCACTGCCCTCACCGTCTTCAGAATATGACGTCATCTGTCACCGTCGTCAAGCTCAAGGAGGCCTACCGTAACTGCTTCAGCCTGAAGCTCTTACATAATTTCGTGAATCGATTCAATGTTGGATAGTTTCTAGAGACATTAGCTCCCACTATGCAAACCCCCTCGAAACTCGCTTTTCAGTAAAGGTCGTTATGGTACACGATCCTTCGAAGACCCCATTGAGCTCGACCAGTGCACCATGTTTCCGGGGCAAATTTTCTGATGCCGTCCACGTAGGTGGCCACTATGAAGATTTTCTTATAGAATGAAATGTGCTCTTCAATACTAAGTTGGGACCATTCGGTTTGAATTGAGCAAAGTGTGATTAAATCCATCTGAATGTGGAGACAAAATGTCTTTTTTGCCCCCCCCCCCCCTCTGTACTTTCACAGTCCAAACATTCTAGGCTGTTCGCATGCTTCTGTCAGCAGTGTAATTTTAAAGCGGCATGAATAACTTTTTTTAATGAAACTCTAATAATGAGCACATGGAACAACCCTCCTCTTCTCAAACATGTGCTAAAATATTTTTTTCACATCTCATAGGCAAACGGGCGGGCGTAAGTTGTAAAGAAACGGTGCTGCTTTCTTTGATGGTTCGTTGTTCATTGGTTATGGCTAGAAACTCGTCTTTCCTACAAGAAGGATACAACTGGCGGAATTTTCTGACCTCTGTGGGCTTCGACACCGCTTCATGCCAGGGGTCAGGCCATCTACACCACCAATCCGATTACTGGAGGCCACCCCTTGAAGTCAGGCGACACAAAGTTCAGTCGCCTGTTAAGGTGGGTCCTATTGTTCTGTGATTACGATGCTTTTCTGGAAAATATTAGGTCTATGGGACTTTCTTGAAGTTTGAAATGGTGTTCGGAAATGAATCGCACTTAGCTCTGGCCTTTCCAGGCTCTGATGAAGGCGACGAAGGCCGAATCGTTACCCAAATAAATGTAATTACCATCTTGGTTGAGATAGCGAAAAACCGGTGAAGGTATT